GCAGCTGGTAAATTCTAATATTTGAAAATAAAATCACAGTATGAATCTTTTCAAATGGTTATTTATGATTGTGAACTCTCATATTTGGTTTATTCATTAGGTGGCATAGTATCTCCATCTAATCCTCTGTATAAAGAGGGCGAACTCACATTCCAATTTGTTGATTCCGGCGCATCTATAATATTTGCACATCCAAACTATCTTGATGTCGTTGTTGAAGCAGCAGAAAATGCCAAGATTCCAAAATCTAAAATTTTTTTGTTTGGAGAAAAAGAAGTCGACGGATTTCAACCTTACTGTTCATTAATCGGTGACCATGAAATTGAGCCTGTCTCATATACATCCGAAGAAGCTAGAACGACGATTGCATTCCTGTGTTACAGCTCTGGAACTACTGGAAAACCAAAAGGAGTAGAAACTACCCATACAAATATTGTTGCAAATGTGGCGCAGATTACTGCCGTGGATAATTCTAGAATGGACGATATCTTTATGGGAGTTTTGGTAATTATTCTTGATAGACATTAATCTAGTATAAATCTTCTTTCTTTAATTCTGAAATAAACTGTTCAATTATAGCCTTTTTTCCATATCTATGGATTGACTCTTCTTGTTTTTTCGACTGTCTTTTTAGTAAGTTTTTAATCGTTTATATGTTAATATAGTTTTTAGAATTAATTAGCATTTTTATTTTTAATTTTTTATTTTATATCAATTACTTTTAAAGGGAGGTTCTACCATCGTTATTCCCAGATACGAATTGGGATTCTTTTGTTCCTGTATTCAAAAATACAAAATTAGTTACGCTCACGTAGCTCCACCAATCATACTTTCATTGGTTAAGAATCCTATTGCAAAAAATTACGACATCTCAAGTTTGAGAATGTTAATCAGTTCTGCAGCTCCGTTAAGCAAATCGATGGGTGAAAAATTTTATAATATTCTTAAAATACCGATTAAACAAGGTTATGGTAATTATATCTAATGTGTAATCTGGAACTTAATTTATAACCAATAATAATAATACCATTATTGTTAGGGCTTACTGAAATGTCGCCAGCAACTCATGTGTGCAAGTCGGATAACATTGTTGCTGGTAATTAATAATTCTTAAAAGGAATTGCGATTGTTATTTAAACATTTCATCTAAACAATTGATCTATAGGATCAGTTGGTGGTCTCCTTCCTAATATAGAAGCTAAGATAATATCGGAAGAAGGGCGTGGTAAATAACTTTGTTGTTTTTTTTTTTATAAACACGTTTAAGTTAAAATACGTTATATTGAATTCAGCTTTAAAATTTAAGAATTAGGGTGTAACGAAAGTGGAGAGCTATGTGTTCGCGGCCCAAATGTCATGAAGGTAATTCTTGACACATTAACTTTTGTTTTCATAATTGTGATGGATTTTTGATAACAAATGTAAATAGGGTTACCTTAATAATGAAGAAGCCACAAAAGCTTCCATTGATGAAGATGGATTTTTACATACAGGAGATATCGCTTATGTTGACGATAATAGTAATTGATATTATGCTAAGTCATTTTTAAATATATTTAATTATTATTATTATTATTAATTAGTTATTATATATTATAGTGAATTTTTTTATCGTCGATCGTTCTAAAGAGTTAATTAAATATATGGTAAGTATATACAAATGTACTAGTTTTCTTGGTAAATTGAGTAATCATAATCATTATTTAGGGTTACCAAGTGGCACCATCCGACTAGAAGAAATTTTACTTACTCATCCTGCAGTAGCTGATTCAGCAGTTGTAGGATATTATTCTACGTCAGATTTAACTGAATTTCCGACTGCTTACGTTGTAACACAACCTGGATATGAACAAACACCAGATCTATCAAAAAATATTCAACAATATATAAGTGATAGAGTAGCTCCACAGAAGAAATTAAGAGGTGGTGTCGTATTTATTGATCAAATACCAAAAAGTTCAGCAGGAAAAATTTTAAGAAAAATTTTGAGAGATAGACTAAAGACTGAGTTTGTTTATCCCGTAGATGATAAATTATAAGAAATTTTTAATGACCAATGTTAATGATTTATTTATGTTCATATTATATTGTAATTTTTATTTACTCCCTATATTACCGAAAATAAGCAACTAAAAAATTTGGATTTTTTACGGGTCAAAGTGGGAGGAGTTGCTAATCTTCGAATATATTTTTCATAATAGAACAAATGACCTCTGGACAATTTTTAGCTTCAAAATCGGGAGTGTTTATAATTCCTGGTCTGCTTAATATTCGGTAATATGTGGTATTCTATTTTTTATATTTGATGTATTAGCCCCTTATCCGAAGTGAAGTAACACCTGAAAAAATTAAGCCCATGAAATTGGTTAAAATTTGGGTATTACTTCAGATGTCTGAAGTAGCCAATATATATATGTATTAACAACTACTGTATGTTATAAATAATGTAATAACTTTTTATATAAATATCATCAACTTGTTCATGTTAAGACGACTGAATTAATATAGTTTTGAGAGGAGGAAAAAACCTATAACTTTAATAGTTTTGTAATAGTGGAATTTGATGGCAGTCTAGTAAAATAAAACTATTATTAAATAGCTATGCTTAGATCTAATTGTAATGGTTATTGTATGCGTGATGAGTCAGAAGAAACATCCTGGATAGTGATGGGAAAAATGCGCATTTTATAATAACATGCGCATGAATACCGCATGATATAAATTCTCTTTTTTTGTTTCATTTTGGAAAAAATCGGTATGTTTCTCGAATTTCGGTCGTCATTTTCATTTCGTAATTTTTCGGAACTTTTGAAATTCCTATCCCTTAATTCCGCCTGGCATTAGTCTCCCCAGCCTAAATTACGCGGCCTAGTGATGGGCAAATCACGGGTTTCCAAAATATCCCGCGCGGGATGCGGGTTACGCGCGTGATCCGCGCGGGATGCGCGGGATAGGATTATATCGTGGGTTTCTTAAAATTATGTTAATGCGGGCCGGCTAGCCTGAATTGGGGATCATATTAAAAATCCCGCGCGGGATCCAAAAAATCACGCGCATTTTACGCGCGTGATCCCACGTATGCCCATCACTAACGCGGTCTAACCAAAACATATGATAGCTAATCAAACACATTAAACACGTTAAACATGTTAGATATGCTAAACATGTTAAATATTTACAGTAAATAACCTTTATATAGAAATAATTATTTCTAAATTTAGAATTTGTTTTTTTTTAAATTTTATTTTTACGTGTTTGTTTTTAATTTATATATTTGTATAATTTAGATTTTTATATATATAGAGTCATTGACCTCTTTATTTTTCTAGCAAAGAATTTGGAATATTTTATTTAAATAGCAATTTTTTTGTATATTAAATTAAAAATTATTTTAAATTTTATTAAAATAAACAAAAATATTTTGATAAATTTTAATAAATTTTTTGTTTTAATTTTATGAATGGGTAAAATTAAAATATAAAATTTTATTAATTTTATTAAAATTTGATATAATTTTTTTATTTTAATTTTAGCCATTCATAGAATTAAAATAAAAAATTTTTATTGATTTTAATAAATAATTATTAGGATATTTTTATTAAAATTTTTAAAATTTTAATATAACAATTAATATACTATAAAAATTGCTAAAAATATTTAAAATTCTAATATATATATATAATTTAGTTAAATAAGATAAGTATTTTATTTTATTTTTTTTATTACTAGTTTTTTTTTAAATCTAATATAATATTTAATAACTAATAGTTTAATATATTTTTTTTAATTTTATAGTTTTTAATTAATAAAAATTTAAGTTTTAAATTTTTATATTATATAAAAATATTGGCGTTATTCTTACAAAAATCAATCTAAAAAATATTAGTCTAGTTTGGTTTTTAATATACTTTATTAAATAATTTATTTATATAATTTATAATACTATTTAAATTTATTTTTAAACTTTAATTAAATTTATTTTAAATTAATTTTATTTATAATATTATTTTATAAATAAAAAATCAAATATTTTTTCAAAAATCAATTATTGATTACAAAATGGCTGTTAACTGATTTGTAATCAATAATTGATTTTGAATTAATTATTAGTTATAAATCAGTTGATAGCCATTTTATAACTAATAATTAATTTTAAAAAAATATTTTATTTTTTATTTATAAAATAATATTACAAATAAAAATTAATTCTAAATAATTTAAATTAACTTAATAAAAATAAAAAAATTTAGAAAATTAATTATAACTAGTTATAATAAAACCTATTTTAGTTCTAGTTTAGATTGATCTTTTAAAAGAATGATGCCACAAATCGAACATGCAAACATACCAGACTAGACTAATTTATTTCTACTTGCAATGTAGACAACAAACACAATAAATAATCAAATTAATTGATTAAT